GTTATCCTCACACTATGGAATATACTATTAGAAAAGATGCTGTGTGGTGGCTCACACCTCGCAGTACTTTGGGAGGTGGAGGCAGGAGGATGACTTGAGGCCAAGAGTTTGAGACCAACCTGGGCTATATAGCGAGACCCCACCTCTACAAAAAAATAAAAAAATTAGCCTGGCATGGTTGTGTGTACCTGCAGTCCCAGCTATGGGGGTGGCTGAGGCAGGAGGATTGCTTCAGCTCAGGAGTTTGAGGTTACGGTGAGGCCACTGCACTCCAGCCTGGGCAACAGAGTGAGACTATCTCAAAAACAAACAAACAAACAAACAAACAAAAGGCTAGGCACAGTGCCTCCTGCATGTAATCCCAGCACTTTGGGAGGCCAAGGCAGGAAGATTAGTTAAGGCCAGGAGTTCAACATCAGCCTGCGCAAAGACCCCATCTCTACAAAAAGAAGAAGAAAAAGAAAAGAAAAACTGATGTAGCTAAATCTTTATGATTTTGTAGAATAAAAAAGCTGGCCACAAAATGGTGCTTGTATACATACCAACATACAGAAACAAGTCTGAAATTATTTGGAACAAATTGCTCAGAGTTATTTAATCTGGTTATTGGGATGATACCTGATTACACTCTATATTTATCTTATCTACATTTGCTATTTTTTTCCAGCCAAAAACATGCTTTGTTATCTATGAAACAAATACCAAAGATAGGAATGCGCAAGCCTACCAGCTCTTCAGCATGCCACTTCCTACATGAAGTCTTTCCTGACTGACCTCACGCATACGCATTCCTCTTCCTCGGACACCTCAAAGCACCTGGTCTGAACCTCTCCAGATCCTTTGCCATGTCCCCCACCCCTAACCCATTAACTGTGAACTATCTGAGGGCAGGCCTATGCCTTATTCACCTCTGTGTCCCTGGAAACTAGCAGTAGGTCTGGAACATGGTAGGTATTTATCAAAGGTTTGCTGAAAGACTGGAATAAAAAACAAGGGCTGTGAGGGAAGTAAGGGAACCAGGAGGTGAAAGACTTTAAAAGTTAGGTTCAATTTTTGAATGTTCTCAACACAAAGAAATGATAAATGTTTGAGACGATGGACATGCTCATTATCCTGATCTAATCACCATATATAGAGTATCTATAGTATATGTACCAAAACATCACTATTTACCCAATAAATATGTACAATTGCTACATGTCAATTAAAAGTAAATTTTAAAAAATGAATTGAAAAAGTGTGGACTTAAAACTACTGTATTGCGAGCTTAAACACACACATACACACCCACACCCCACTCCTACTACTTTAGGGCAATTAGAGCTTAGTGGCTTTAATATTTCTTTCTTCATTCTTTTCAGCCTCTAAGCTGAAAAAATTCCTAAAGGCAGATTGCAACAAACACGACTTCTTTTTAAAGAATATAATTAAGAATGCAGGCAAACACAGTCTGGTAAATGCGAACCTCAAGCTAGGAAGCATTTTACAATCACTGGGATGAGATGTGTCAATAAAAATGTGCTGAGTATATAAATCTGTAAGGATCACAACATTAAGTGGCACATTAAAGAAAGCAATCTT